ACACTGAAATACATGTATCATTATTATTGTAGTGATTCGTAGTAATTCATGTACTGAAGATAAATCTGCTGAATTATTCTAATTATCTTTAATTATGACAAGCTGCCATGCAGAAATCACAGTCATCATATGCAAACTGAGTAATTTCTATTCATAAGGTCATGTTCACTGAATAATGTTTATTCCTCGGTATTGTTATGTCATTCGCATTATGATGTCACCGTAACGAATAGCAGCTGCAGTATCTGATTTTAAGAACATCTAGTTTATAAAGACTATTTAAGGAAGCTTTAAACACTAAAGAGTTCTACTTTTAGAGTATTTTTTGCAGTTAGATTGATCTGCCCTTAGAAGTAAGATAGAAAAAATGGTTATTTACAATTAATTACACAATTAATAATAGATTAAAATTTTTTTAGCATTATATTAGACCAAGAATAAGTAATTGAATTCATAACTTCCATTAATTTTCCCAATGTAAGTAAACGACAGTTATTTCTGCTCACGGATAGTCCATTGTTTTTTAACATTTTTCCTGCTGAAATAAGGCAGGTACCCTATGTTGAAAATGAACTAAATAGTCTCAATATGCATACCTTTATATGATATATTTTTCTCCAAGTCCAAAATCACTTTTTGATAGTGTTTAGAGCTTCCTTAAACGTCAGCACTATTTTTGCTTCACAGAAGAACGTTTCCAATTTTAGAAACAGCAGGTTTATAATTTTTTTTAGAAGCTTAAAATAGAAACACCTAGTTTATGAGACTTATACTTGATTATGTGATCTAGTTTGAGCCAATCAGATAGCTGGCAACAATAGAGAAAAATAATAAATGCATTTATGAGTACTTAAAGATTCTAGATCCTCTCAGAAAATTTTATTCAAAGTTTGATTCAATCAATCAATGTTAAATTAAATAATCAATATACAGTTCCATCAATCAATTAATATTCAATTCAATCAATGATTTTTTATTCAATCGATAAATATTTAATTCATTCAATATTCAATTCAATCAATAAATATTTAATTCAATAAATAGTACTAAGCTTATGCTTAAACCAAGCAATATATAAAAAAATTAATCAATGTTCCATGATGTTTTCCTTTAACGAGTCATCCATGTTGTATCTGCGCCCTGTAACCAGCAGCGCTAGTAAAGATGATTTGTGTTAAGCTAAATCCGCCAAACGTGCATAAGTATTCATACATGTATAACTACATGTTACAATATAGCAATTATTAGCTCGCTTTTTAAAAAAAATCTCGGAAGAGTTTATTTTTAGACAGAGTTGTACCCCATCAGAGGTAAAATTAATATTAAACTGCTTGGATCTCGGTTTTTCAGGTCTCATCCGAAAGACCCGAGACTTTCACTTCTAGTGCCGGGTTCTTGGAGAAGGAACAGCAACTATCTATATTTACGTCTTAGGTTTGACGCAGGGCGGCAAACGAGAATCGAACCCGGGTCTGCCGGTCACGACGCGAACGCCCTACCACTAGGCTAGCGTGACATAGTTTCTTTTATATATATATATATATATATATATATATATATATATATATATATATATATATATATATATATATATATATATATATATATATATATATATATATATATATATATATATATATATATAAAAGAAATGAGTAAAGGAGTCAATCTTGTAAAGCTTTTGTACACTGCCAAAAAATATACTATCTCAGATTTTTTTTTAAATTCATTTTTTTCAACGTTTTTTTCAACTAACCTTAGTTTCATTGATACAACATCTGTTCTACGGGAACTAATTAATAATGGAGAAGTTTATGAATTTTTTGTTTAAGTAAAATTGATTAATCTAAAAGCCATAGAAATATAATATAGAATATTATTCCATAAGGATATCAACTGAGTAAATGTGAAAGATAAGAGATTCTCACAAATTCTTTACTATCTAATTTTAGATGCTTTGAAAACAACTACACATGTAGCTAGTGATGAGAAATCATCAGAATCTCAGAATGTGCCGGGTTTCAGTACATCAAGAACTTATACAGCAGAAACGTTTGAAAGCCATAACGTGTTTTATAGAAGCATAGTAATTTCAATCGGAGGATTGATATCAAGTTTTCTTTTTCTGATCATTATATATGAAATTTACAAAGTTCTTAAATTTTACTTAACTTCGAAAGAACAATATTATAACATCCACATCGCTGATGATGTGTATGTCGAGATAAATCATATTGCGAATGAAGTCAAATAGTTGAAAAGGCAAGGTTAGAAAACGCAATAGTTAATAGACTTAGATACTTTGTATTCAACACCACCATACCTGTCAGAATAGTTCTCATTTGCTACTATGCAAACTTGAATGGAATGTGCAGATATATATGTTATAATTTTTGATGTAAAAGGAAAAAAAAAACATTGTTAACCAGAATCATTTAACTTCAGTTTGTTTGTTCAATTTTTGATGATTAAAAAATTTTATGTTCCTTTGAAGGTTAACGTAATATATTTTATCACTATAGAAAGAAATATATCTGATAAAGATATGAAAACATTGCTTACCTGAATCGTTATCCATTTTTTTTTATTTAATTTGTTGATGATTAAAAAAAATCTCTTTTTTCGTAATTAACGTTTATTAACGTTATTTATTATATTTTCAGCCGCGAAATGCTGTTGATTTTTTTTTTATTGAATAAAAGTGATAATTTGTTTGATTATTAATCTTACAAGGCACCGTCTAGTTCGAAATACCTGACGTTTTCCAAGCTTTTTTTTACGATTTTGATATTTCACGTGCCAGGAAAACGTCAGAACCGGTGCCATTATGAAAAATGGAATATTCGAAACCCCCTAATGAACTCGATTTTCGATACTTGCAAATCGATTTAAGATGTCTGATTCACAACTTTTTTAAGAGCCAGTCTGCGAGAAAACCATGCAAAATTCAAAAAATTGTCCAAATGGAAGGTTGCAACATAGGATTTTTTAGTGGCTTAAAATTTTCTACATAAAAGCAGAATTCCGAATATCTACAAAAAATTGTCAAACCTCGCATCTGTTTTTAGTAACAGCTCATTTGCATATTTGTCGAAAATCACACTAAATGATATGGAAAAACCATTCAAATTGATTAATTCAAAAAGTGACCTTCTGCCATCAGTTTAGTTTCAAATTTTGTTTTCTTTTCAAAATCATGGTCTTATTTATATAATTAATGAAGAAAAACATTATTCAAATGAATGTTCTATTTTTTTAAAGGTCTATTTATAGATCCTAAATCAATGAGTATGATATTTTAGCCATTTTTAGATGCTATTTTCTCTCAAGACCAAGTAAAAAATTAAATTGAAATAAGTGTTATCTTAAGAATGGCCTTAGGTATACTACGTATTAAAATATTGAGCGTGGGAAATAATAACTACATGTTGAAAATTAACTTTGAAATACCATACTTCGCTACAATTTCACATATTTTAAATAACAGTCCATTATCATATTTATAGACTATTTCTTAAATATCTAAATAAGAAAAAAAAGATTCTAAATCTATTTTTTTTTTAAAAAAAAATGGGAATATCTGATTTAGATACTTCATATAAAATTCTATTGCTTATTTTAGCCCCCTGCAACCAATTTCCTGGAGTTAAATTGTTATCTCCCCTTGTTAGAACTCTTTAGTATTATTGGGTAAAATTGACAGATCTGATATATCAACATGGAATATAAAGAAGGTCATTTATGATCATTTTATATGAACCTAAGGAGAGCATCCTTGCACTCTGAAAGTGAAAAAAACTCATTTTTAAGATCTTTGAATGTAAGAAAAAACAACAATCCAGCTTGAACAAGCAAATAGCCCCTGAGCTAAGGCCTTCTATGTTGTATCGGTGTGTAGAACTGAAATTGTGATAAACTCTTCTTATTAAAACCTTTATTATATGCTTTAAAACATCGTGATGACGTTTTATTTACTGGAGAGACAAGCAAACATGCATTGTGCATATAATCATCCTAAAACAAGCAAGGACATGACTGCAGCCAAAACATATGCCATTTTGTAGTACAAACTGGTAAGAATTAAAAACGGGCATGAATGAAAGATCTATAGACATGATAAAGAAGTGATGATTTCATTCAAATTGGAGGGGGTGGGGTGCTGTTGAATTTTGTCATGTCATTTTTTATAATATTATTGAATTAATAAAATTGTATTATGCTTTATAATTTATTTGAAATTTGGTCTGAATAACCATAATTGTAATAATTATACCCTTGCAGACAGAGTTTAATTTTGGAGATGATCGCAGATTTTTTTTTGTATATATATATATATATATATATATATATATATATATATATATATATATATATATATATATATATATATATATATATATATATATTTATTGCAGATTCCTTATTAATCAAACAAACAACAGATATTATTTTGCTTGTTTAATTTGGCGCTTCTGGCCGCGGTGGTCAATTTGCTGGGGCTACCACAGGGCTGCCCCACAATCAACAATCAATACAAATGTGACGACCCAAATCAGGCGGATCATGCACTGGGTAGGTCACAAGTGCATGAACGTCACCAATTCAATTATAAATCAAGTTCAATCAATAAATCAATAATCAATCAAGTTCAATCAATCAATCATCATTCAATCAATCAATTCAATATCAATCAAGTCAACTGCTTGTCAATTACAAGCCAATGCACAAATTCAAATCCTGAATTTCAATTCACATGTGCAATAGGATAAACAATGGAATGAGCGTAAGAATATGTGTTGCACTCCTCCAGTTGCGTTGAGGTGCGACGGAATACGCAAACACACAGAATTACCACCGCGACATCGGTTGAATTGGACGCTGTATCCAGCAGGCAGTCATCACGGTATACGTAAACACACAGAATTCACCACCTTGACATAGGCTGATGTGGACGCTGGACCACTCAGGCTGTATTTACGCAATGAGCAAACACACAAAATTCACCATCGGCACATAGGCTGATGTAGGTGCTGGACCAAGCAAGCCGTCCCTACGTACAGGAAATACCGAACACACATAATCCACCACCGCGACATAGGCTGTTGTGGAAGCTGGGCGAAGCAGGCAGTCTTCAGCTACAATGACATAACAAAAAGCAGCAGTATTTGTTCTAAAAACAAGAGGAGGGTGGGTGGGTAAAATTTAAAACATTGCCACAATTTAACTCCCAAAAATTTTCCATGACCTTACCGTTTAATCGATTCTTCTAGAAAGGAGGTAGAAAAGAACTAATTATTAGACTATATACAAATGGACCTAAATTATCCGGAATGGTAGCTTGTGACTAAGGGTGAAAATTTATATTTATCCGAATGCACGTAACTTTTCCGGAATAGATAAATATTACTAGGGTTACTGAAATAAACTCACTTATCCGAGACCAGGCTCGTATAAGTGGTATTATTGCAGATTCCCTATTAATCAAACAAACAACAGATATTATTTTGCTTGTTTAATTTGGCGCTTCTGGCCGCGGTGGTCAATTTGCTGGGGCTACCACAGGGCTGCCCCACAATCAACAATCAATACAAATGTGACGACCCAAATCGGGCGGATCATGCACTGGGTAGGTCACAAGTGCATGAACGTCACCAATTCAATTATAAATCAAGTTCAATCAATAAATCAATAATCAATCAAGTTCAATCAATCAATCATCATTCAATCAATCAATTCAATATCAATCAACTGCTTGTCAATTACAAGCCAATGCACAAATTCAAATCCTGAATTTCAATTCACATGTGCAATAGGATAAACAATGGAATGAGCGTAAGAATATGTGTTGCACTCCTCCAGTTGCGTTGAGGTGCGACGGAATACGCCACTTGCAAGGGCCATGAATACTCGTGTCTACCACGAGTAAGCATGGAACTGCAACCGCCACCAATGGGGGTGCCAAGAACCATGGTGACGGCGGCAGTACCTCAACGCAAATGGTCACCGTCGACCAGGGCCTGCCCATTCACCAATACAACTTATAAAACAAGTGACTTATTAGTCAATTACTATTCAATGCATTAAAACAAAATATGAATTTAAATCGTCAACGGTCATTCACCTATTCCGTTATAATTGTTTTATGAAATGTGTTGAAATGCAATTATGGACTTGTGAGAATAAAACAACTCCCCGTTTAATCTAAAATTGTGGATCCTACCTGCACTCTATTCCCTGTCCCGTTGGTTTATTTTATCGTATTACTTACCTACTAGGCTGTTACTCCTGTTACGCATTTTTATGGCTTTTATAAAAATTTAAACTATCTTTGCAAGTATTGGTTATAGTTGTACTAAAAAGTGTGGAGTGTATCAGACCCAAATAGAACAAAAACGAGATATTTACGTCACCTCTCAACTTAGAATACTTTTAAAACAATATTTGTGTCCTTAACCCCCCCCCCCCTCTCATTTCCCCAGCTGCATAAATCATATTCCCTCTTCACAATTTATCAAACAACTATACTCCATAGTAAAATTAAAAAAAAAAATAAATCATTGAAATGAATGAAGTAAAAATATGTGAGCCTTGTAACAACTACTTAATGGATGCCTAAACATGTACATTTTATAGCCAGCGTTTCAAAGCTAAAATAACCCCCCTGCAAGTTGGTGGCAAATGTGCTTTAGCGGTTGCTCCCTAATTGTAGTGAATGAGATTTAAATTTTGTATTCTACAAATAATAAACGTATGGGCATGATATGCCGTATCCAATACTGACTAAACCTGCTCAAAGTTTCCCTGAAAAAAGGATAAACACGGTCACCTTTTATGACTGGTCATGGAAGTACTTGCAACTACATTCGAATCGTTAAACTGTTTTAATTAAAAATAACTGCCAAGACTTATTAATTTAATCATCACCTATTAAATGTTTTAACGTACGACTAATTTAAGTTTTATATAACCTTGTGCCATAAGGGTAGATTAACCTATTGCAAACAAAAGGAAGAATACTTTACATCGCTATTACTTAAAACGTAATGAAACTCTTTTGCGTTGAAGGTAGGAAACGTTGATTAATAGCTGAGGACAATGTGCTATAGCTATTGACTACACTATGAGATCGATCACTGCAGATTTTTAAGGGACATTTATAAGAAAGAAGCCCTGGTGAAATACCTAGCTAAATGTTCGTTGCACCACGCTATGAAATTAAAATGCTAACTCTCTTGTGTTAATTTTTTGTGGATATTTCCCGCTAAGTAGACTATTCTAATAATAAGTTTAATCATTTTCTCTCTGATAAACGTTATTTTGGAAGTCTAAATATTCCGAATACTTTGACTTGCTTTCTGAATTGCAACCATCGGCATTACTTTGTACCTTCGGCATACTTATTGTTCGTATCATTCAATTGTCACTAGCGTAAACAATATATGTAAACAACATGTTATCCCCCGAAAATGAATGGAGACTTATGAGAGTTATAAGTTTCTTGACTTTATTGCAAAACAGCCGCAGTAAGTTATACAATTCGAGGTAATTGCGATACTAAGTGTTCTGAGTATTCAAAAAAATATCTGTAAGGGAGTAGTTTTATCTCTGGGAAATTTAGGTATAATCGTGGACCATTGTGTATTACACACAATTATACATGTATTTGGTAATAATTAAACAGAATGATAAAATTAGTCTCAAGGCTTAAATCCCCATTAGACACTGACATAGGTGCGCAATAAAACAGATAAACACAATAAAATATCCGAGAAAACAAATTCTTGAGTACGTTGCAACTCTTTGTCCATGGAAATGTGCGGTGGAAATAACTGGTATACTTGATAAAGCATACTTCTGGACATATCTTGGATATCCCTTACCAGATTAGCTTAAAATTGAATGTCAGTGTACCTTAAATAAATGGATCAATATTGTTTTGACAACACATTATTAACTCCTTGGTTTTGACTTTTCTTATATACTAGTAAATTCAATATTGCAATTTCATATCAACCTATTAAATCTTTAAATAATAATAATAATTGATTCATATATAATTTAACTGATTATTTGACAAGCTTTGTTTCCCCGTCTCGTCGAACACATTAGCAGACTATCCATTCAAAGATAGCCTGATAAGCAACATACGGAGCAAGTACTGGGTGCTGCTTATCCTAGTGAGACTCCTGACCAATCACTTTTATTAATCTGCCTATGACAGTGCTCTAATAGCTTAACTAAATATCAGAAAAGTCCATCCGAAGGAGACGAGGAACCAATTTGATTTTGACCATCTTTTTAAAATTACCAGTTTATTTGAAATATGCCCCCCCCCTTTCACACAAAGACTCGCTTAACCAAATTATACTTTTCCCTAGAATGTAATCTAATAGCTGCGATTAATTGAAGCTGGATTAGGATCTATATCATTTGCCAATTCCACTTTTATATCTAGTATTAGCACAACTGCAACATTTCCTACTTGTTTCTTTTTTGCAAATCTTTAATTACTGTTCTAATGAATTACTGGGTAAGTGATAAGGTCATGCTTTGATGGAAAGGTATGTTGTGCCCATTGCAGCTGTTGACTCATTGATAAAGCTGTCTTAAAAAAATAAAATTAAAAATGTTGACCTGTTTTTGGTAATGTACCTGAAAATAAATGATCATGGTAACATACATCTGTAATCACTATCAATTACTTAAGGTTTTTTATGTACTTACTGCCTTTTGTACCAATATAATTTGCTCCTTGCTTGTGCCTGAACCCTGCAAATTTGCCTACCTATCCTAATGCATATGAAGAATACTTTTCCACAGCTTTGCTGCGGTTTGACTGCTCATTGTGAGACAAATGCTTGCAAAATTAATGAGAAATGTTTTCATCCTATTTCAATAAACTGTGATTTTGCTTTCATTAGTTGGATTTTTATGCAGAAATTGACCATGTGGACCAAATGAGCTCCCATATGTTGTGTAACATAATATACAAGTTAACTCCCATCCCATTATGTAATAGGAAAATCAGTTCATACAATATCATCCATAAAACCTTACACCTTTTTGTTTTCTTGTTAACATGCTCTATGTAAACAAACAAACAAATGAAATGATACAAGTCTGCAAATAGAGCATAACACTTACACCATTTAATAAACCTCCTCTCAGTACACACAGTACTTTGATTACTTCAAAAAGTGAAAGTGCACAAATTCTCGTGAATGCTTTCTCCGATTTAACGACGATTACAGTTTGTAAAATGCGAATCAATATACCTCCTTCGAGCACGATAAATCTATGTAGAAAACAAACTAAAATCCTTCTAGTAAGCCCGGCTTCTGAGAATATTCCGTGTTTTATGAAATTATCCCCCCCCCCCCCCCCCGTTATAGCTATGATGGACTCGAAGTTTAACATTTCGCTCCTAAAAAAAATTAACTCAAGTTAAACAATCATTTGACCCCCAAACTGATCTTAATATATTCCTGTTACCTGTAAAGTCTCACAAATTACAATATCGCGTAAAATCATTCAATTTACGAAAAAAGTCCAATCAGGCCAAATCCAAAGTCAAACTTCGCCATCGATACGTCTAATTTGCTTTGCAACTACAAACCTCAATAGTTATACTAAAAATCAAACTTATTTGATTTAAAAAATTTAAAACATTGCCACAATTTAACTCCCAAAAATTTTCCATGACCTTACCGTTTAATCGATTCTTCTAGAAAGGAGGTAGAAAAGAACTTATTATTAGACTATATACAAATGGACCTAAATTATCCGGAATGGTAGCTTGTGACTAAGGGTGAAAATTTATATTTATCCGAATGCACGTAACTTTTCCGGAATAGATAAATATTACTAGGGTTACTGAAATAAACTCACTTATCCGAGACCAGGCTCGTATAAGTGGTAATATATATATATATATATATATATATATATATATATATATATATATATATATATATATATATATATATATATATATATATATATATATATATATATATATATATATATATATATATTCACTGAAAACAGTTGGCGGGGGGGGGGGGGGGCATTCAAGGTCAGATTAACTTCTTCCCAGTGGAGGAAAGATTATTCATTTTCAAGTTCAGGTTCTGTA